CAATGCTGGCCCTTTAAGACAGGTGGATTTCAGCTCCCAGAATTCCAGTGCTGGCCCTTTAAGACCTGGGGACTTCAACTCCCAGAATTCTCATGCTGGCTCTTTAAGAAGGGTGGACTTCAATTCCCAGAATCCCCCAGCCGACAGAAATCTACCTCTTAAAAGTTGCTCAAGTTGAGAAACACTGCTGAGAAGGAGATTACCAGGCTTAGAAGAAAAATGAAACACACATTTTTATTTCCAGCCTCTAATATTCTGTTCCTTCCCTATTATTTGGAGTTGCAAGTTAGGGCAAGCAGGAAAAAAAAACCTGTTCTCCAGGTGTGGCTTTTTTCTTGAGCAGCCAGGATCAAGGTTGGAGGCTGGGTTTTCTAGCTAGATATTCAGCTGTGGATGGAAGGGTTGTCCCCACAGATTTGAGAGACATTGGACTACGTTTCTCATGGTTGGATAAGCGTGGCTGTGCTGTCTCAGGATGATGTACCTGGGAACCAGCACACCTGGAAGTGCATCGCTTAAAGAAGAGTAAACTATTTTGTAGACCAGGACTGTATAAATTTGGCAACTTTAAGACCTGGGGACTTCAACTCCCAGAATTCCCCAGCCAGCTCTCTCTCTCTCTCTCTCTCTCTCTCTCTCTCTTTCAATGTTGCTGAAGTCAAGATATATGTTTACCGCATTCCCACCGTCTATTAAGAAAAGTTACCCTGTTAAAAAAAACGCGATAAAGCAGTCTAGCTGCATTTATTCTCGCCCCACTCATACCAAATGCCGGAAAAATCCTTTGCCTGACTGCGGAATTCAAATCCACAAAGTCTGAAAAGCTGCCAAGCCTGCTGCAGGCAGAAATGCCACCGGTGCAGTTTCATTCAGCAGAAAGTGGAGACGTAATGTCCCACTTAAGTCAACCCGGCACCGTTTGGGGAAAGTTGAAAGCGGAGAAAGGGGAGGGAGAGAGAGAGAGAGAGAAACAACACGTTATGCCTTCATTTTGGAACACGGCATGTCATAAAAGTTTGAAATACAACGAAGAAGTCCGTGAAAAGGCTGGTGTCTCTGAATTTTTATGTCTGCCACGGAATCTACAGGAAATCCTCAACTTGCAACAGTTTGTTTAGTGACCAAAGTTACAATGGCACTGAAGCAGGATTCCCCTAACAACTCTATGACAGACTTAACTGGAGGGATTCACTTAACAACTGTGGGAAGAAAAGTCGTAAAATGAGGCTAAGGTCACTTCAGAACTGTCTCACTTACATAAGAGGAAAATTTTGGGCCTAAGTCGAGGCTCGTTCCCTCCTTTTCGGATATAATGAAATAATAATGAAAAGGGGCGTGAAAAACCCTTTTTGGATATTCTGAATTTTGATCTCTCTCCAACATTAAATATATAGCCGCACCTCCGATTGATATGCAAAGGGAAGCAGTGTTATGACAATGGCATCTCTTCATTTCTTTCACGGCATGAAATATTTTTTCCCCATAAATCTATTTCATAAGCTAATCATCCAGCAAACATGATGTTGGAATGAAGAAGTAATTAGTTTTCGAATACACCAACAGGTTTCTTCCTCCCTCTAGATGTAATGACTGCAACACTTCCTATAATTTGAATTTTACATGCTTTCCTCCATGGTGAAGAAGACCTTGACCTAGTTCTCTAGAAAGTTGGAGAAGTTCTCTAGAAGTTTGAAGGATGATCCCAGTTTCTTCTTTGCAAGGAATAGCTTCCACTGTGTCTTCTTGTTCAGTTGATCTACTTCACTTGAGTTCCATCTTGAACGTGAGGAGAAATTTCTTCTGCAGATATCTCTCCTACGAAGGATAAGTTATACTTCCTTCAGGGGTGGCAATTGGTTGAAGTCCTAACTGTGAAAAACATTCCCAAACAACAAGGACGCTCCTATCTTGGTGCTTGATAGTCTACTTAAAGTTCTTATGGTGGCTGGTTTCCACAAGACGTAACAACATCCAGGTAGCCTTCAAAATTATTATTATTTAATTGTCTCTTCATGGAGAAGTTCTCTAGAAGTTTGGAGGATGATCCCAGATCCTTCTTTGTCACTATTTCCACTATTTCCGCTTGCACTACTTCTTCTTGTGACTTGGAGAGGTCAACCACGGGTGGGAAATTAGCCACGCTTGTCATGTCCATATCAACATCAAAGCTCCAAGTTTTGTAAGGTTTGTGGATTGGTTGGCACGACCTTCGCCATTTTTATGGAGGTCTTCAGAATCTCCTTGTTGTGTGGTTTGGCACTCATTTTAGAATCCATCAGTGGATTTCAACAACCTAACCAAGATATCCCTTCAGAAAAATTTCAAGAAGACACTGGACTGCTATCTGTCAGAAACGGTGTATTGTCTCCTGCTTGGGGTGTGGGGTGTGGGGGTTGGACTAGATGACCTACAAGGTCCTTTCCAACTCTGTTTAAAAAAAAAATCTGAAAAGGGGTAAATTCTGATATATATTTTTTAATAAAAAAAAGCTGTTTGCCCACTCTCACATCGTACAATGACTTGGGATCGCTTGATGAAGCCGTGTTGCAGAAATGGAAGACGAACCAAAATTTTACACCACCTGCATTCGGTAAGAGATGGAACTCCCTGCCACAAGATGAGGCGACGTTGCTAAGCTTAAGTCGGCTTGCAGAAAGAAGGTAAACCAAGAGATGGAAAGACACCAGTTGCTGTTTATCTAATCCTGTGTTTTTCAACCTTAAGAGGGGTTGAGAATTCTGGGAGTTGAAGTACACCCATTTTAAAGGGGCCACGGTTGAAAAACGTGAACCCAACTGCCATGCAGGGATTGTTTTGTCGCTATGTTAACACTTTGGCATCTACCATGCCTCTGTTCCCTGCAGATGTTGGGTGTTGTGCCCGATGCAGCAATATTTTAATGATGCAACCCTACGCAATGATTTATTGCACCATTTCGCC